CTTTTAGGAAAAGCATTTTTGAGAAAAATGTTTTAGACAAAAGTTGTAGGATGTAAAAGGGTATACAAAATAATGACCTTTACTGTGACCTTGAAGACACTCCTGAAGGTCATTTGGAGGCCAAGTCGTATACGAAAGCCGCTCGGCGGTGCCACGTTATGGCTCCCGCCAAGCGAAAACCGGCGGCGCGAAAGAAACGGCTCCGAACAGGCACGAACTTAACGATTTTGGGCTATAAAAGCCCAAAATTGTTAAATAAAAATCACTCTTTGGAGTGCTTGGCAAAAATCCTGATCCGCGCCAAGCAATCCGCTTCCTGGGGGTCGCAGCTTGCAGGGCCTCCACCGAAGATTCTCGGCCGCACTCCCCAGGACTTCGAGCACCACTACGTGTAAAAAAGCGTCCGGGGCCCAAGCTTACTTGGCCCCCAGCCGAACATACTCGGCCGCCCAAACACACGAGGGGGACTCGACAGGACCAGGATTTAACCATCCTTCCCCGCCTTAACAGTCGGCGTTTATCCGGGGACCGAGATTCGTCTCGTCCTTGCCGAACGGCTGCCGAACGTTTTCCCGTCTTAAAGAAATCCCTTGGTAGAACATCCATACTGCGCGCCGCGCCGGCCGAATATTCGCCCGGGCATTTTGTCGCGCACCCGGCCGCACGCACCGCAATGAAAGTAACCGGCAACATCGATAAGATACCGCGAGCGATATATATATATATATATATATATATATATATATATATAGATTTACACAGGACGCGGAATCTATAATATATTATAGATTTACAAAAAATATATTTTATGTATTAAATATTAGGTTGTAGGGAAAATTCGTGCGCATTTTTGAACATTTTTATTTTTTTAAATGCGTCAAAAGATGACGAATTCTTTCAACATGACACTCGTATGCTGCCTGAAAGGTGGGCTAATGTGGTAGAAAACGATGGCAAATACTTCGATTAATAGGTGCTGTATAATTACGTATATATTATATATTATAAAGACATATATTTTATAATTATTTGCGTATATATTATACATATATTGTTATGTGGTTTTATATTTCATTGTTAGCAACTTTCCATCTTTCTTTTCTTTTGCGCATTTTTTTTACATTTCTATTATTTATTTTATTGTCACGTTTGTACCTTTTTACTTTTTATCTTAAATAATGTCGGTTCTAGCATTGTCTCTAATTAATTTTCTTTTCTCATTCAATCAGAAATGGCATTTTTTGAACATTTTTCTACTTTTTCAAATACAGGGTGGACCATTTTAATCTATTCAGTCGAATATCTCGAAAAATAAGCACACTAGGAAAAAATGTTTCAGACAAAAGTTGTAGGGCTTCGAGGGGGACATAAGATGATAACATTGGTTTGACCCTGAGTGGCGTCGTCAAGGTCAGGGCAAGGTCACTTTGAATTTTTTAAATGGAAACCCCAATTTTTCATTACATATTCTTATAGCACACTAGCTAAAGATAGCCAAGGTCGTTGGCCTTTATCAATGTCATGATCGTGAACAACATTCAAAAGGTTTTAACTAGTGTTTGGAGACCTTGGATGATGCTAATGCCGACAGTACTCCAACTTTCAAGCTTTATAACTCAAGATTTATTTCATAAAAAAATATTTTATATATGTGTTTTGGAAAGTTCTCGAGGCGTGCTATAAGAACATGTAATGAAAAATTGGGGGTTCCATTAAAAAAATTCAAAGTGACCTTGTCCTGACCTTGACGACGCCACTCAGGGTCAAACCAATGTTATTATGTCCCCCTCGAAGTCCAAAAATTTTTGTCTGAAACATTTTTCTCTCCCGGGCTTGATTTTCGAGATATTCGACTGGATGGATTAAAATGGTCCACCCTGTATATATATATATACAATGAATTTATGTACAATTAATTATGTATATATATGTATATATATACAAATGTGTATATATATGTATATATACAGGGTGTCCCGTAATGACCGGACTAACGCTTAAGGGTAGATTCCTGAGATCATTTTAAGACAAAAGTTCCAATACCAAAATGTTGAGACTATAATAATTTTTGAATTATAAGTGTTTAAAGTTAACTAATCAGATCGTCTAAAGTTGGCTCGCTCAGGTACGGCACGCGCAACTCCTAAAAACAAAAGCTGACTTATCGCCCCTTTTATTAATATCGATATAAGGATTACATATGTGAATATAAGATTATTTTTATTGATATTTCTGCAAACACATTGCGCGGTAACATTGTACAATAATATTTTCTTTTTATAATAACATTTTTGTTTTTACATAATACATAAAGCGCAAACTGTCAGATAATATTTCATTCAAAAATCTGTTATTAATTGCATATCTTAAAGACAAAACTGTAAGATATGCAATTAATAACAGATTTTTGAATGAAATGTCATCTGACAGTTTGCGCTTTATGTATTATATATGTAAAGACAAAAAATGTTAT